ACACACCACACACACACACACACACACACACACACACACACACACACACACACATACACTCACACACACACACACACATCCCCCATCCTTTCCTTCCACAAACACAACAACGATCAAAATCCCTCTCACGTACCAGTGAACTTGTTGTTGTAGGTCCCCAGTTCCACAGCGTCAGGTTCACCTCGACCAAATAGTGACCAAAACACAGTACGGAATGTGGCCAGTACTCTGAAGAACAGCAATTATAGATAATCATTATTTTTTTAAAAGTAAAGACAATCAGGAAACGACAAATGCTGTTTTTAGGAGACCTGAATAGACACAAGGGTCTAACATCTAGCTCTCACTGGCAAGATTGATGGCAAGCGAGGCACGGGCAGGCCCAGAGCAACCTACTTTGTGGAAAATGAACAAGTGGTGGGCAGGGAAAGATCAGAGAAAGTAGCTTTTTTAAAGAGCATTCGAGCAAAGGAATGAATGGAGAACCATGACCACTGATGTCTGTCGCAGATCTGGCACTGGATGATGATGATGATGATTGTGAGGCGTGCTGACTGACTGGTTTGTTTCTTGCACTCCTCAAATGGAAATGTCGGCCGAAAATAGACACATACAATTTGTAGATTTTAAACTGATGCCATTTTCTTCAGGTTTAACATGTCTGTTTTCATTTCGTATCACGAATTGTACACACCCAAGTTATATATAAATTTGACGTATCTACCTGTGATCAAAGGGCTGAGATCCGTGATTTGACTCATTATGTCAGCACACCCCACAATTACTGTCATCCATAAAAGTCATCTTTATCGGGTAAAAAATTCAATTTCGACTCTCATCTCCACTAACCCCTCACCCCCTCCCCCAATCAATCTCCAATACTTAAATAATCGAAACACGTTTTTCGCATGACGTCACGATGACTCACAAGTCAGTGTCTCACAAGAAAAGAGACCCCCAGATGAGCATTGGTCAAGTAAGTTCCGACTGGACTGTCAAAGTTTACTTTTACTCTTAATCGTCATCATGATTATTAGCCATCACGACAATACATTTCTTGTATTTGCGAGAGGCAACTTATTTATACGTTTACCTTAAAATTAAAGAAAAAACCCTACGCAAGCAACTTGGAGGTTTAACTGTCTGGTTTTGAAGTTGTCTGTATTCTTAAATACTTGTGCGTTTATGCTGATAGACGGGCACACATACACACACACACACACATACACACACACACACACACACACACA